TTTTTTTTTTTTTTTTTTTTTTTTTTTTTCCTTAAAGTATTCGCGTAAATAAAACGCTGAGAAATATTATGATAGAAAAAAGTTTAAACTGTGTAATGATCTTTGATAATGTTTTGACAAAAGGACAAGGAATACAAAATATCCAGCAGCAAATGCTGGGTCAAGCCATGGGCAGCATTGGAGGACAGCCTATGGTGCAATACCAACAACAGACCCAACAAGTGTACCAACAAAGTTTGGGATTGCAGCAGGTATCAAGAATTAACATTGCTGATATTAAATGAATTATTTAAAATAAAATATTTACAATAAAATGGATATAAATAATTCTATATAGCCCAACATTACCATGGCATCCATGGCGACTCTTGGCTCCAATTTACCATCGGGTATAGCAGGACAACTATATCCACAGGTCGCTACAGTTTCTTACCCAACACCACGAGCATTGAACACAAATGCTTTTCAACCCTCTGTAGCTGGTGTTCCACAACAGGTGCAGCAAAATGTACCTTCATCGTCGACAAAGCAAAGAGTTTTCACGGGTACTGTTACCAAAGTACATGATAATTTTGGCTTTGTAGATGAAGATGTATTTTTTCAAACTAGGTAAGTGTTAGAAGAGGTACATCTGTCTCATGTGTTGTATGTTCTAATGAATTTCTTATCCACTCTGTTCCAGTGCATGTGTAAAGGGGTCTAATCCCGTAGTAGGAGATCGTGTGCTTGTAGAGGCGTCGTACAATCCTTCAATGCCATTCAAATGGAACGCCACTAGAATACAAGTGCTCCCCATGGGTAACAATAGTAACAATGCAAACACTCAGCAAACTAATCAACCGAACCGTCAACAACAACAGCAGCAGCAGCAACCAAATAGGACATCAGGCACCTATAATGCTGTACCTCCTCCAACAGAAAATCCTAATAACAGGTGAAGCTAATTGATTCTGTATTGATTCACTGTATTATGATATTTAATGAGAGAGAGAGAGAGAGAGAAAGTAATTTAAATGTTAAGATCAAATTGTTTTAATGTATATTCTGAATATGCAATATTTTAATGATGGAATTTTACGAATTGTAGTAGGTTCACAACAAGTACGACAAATTCCAACACTACCAGCAATCGTAATAAGGTTGGTAGAGTAAGAGAAAGATCTCCTCGTGAACGGAGAAACGATGACGAGGAAATAGAAAGGAAGAGACGTCGTGAGGAGAGAATAAGGGAACGCGAGAAGAAAGAGGATCGTAGCCCTTCAAGAACTAGGAGGAGTAAATCACCGAGACCTCGCCGGCGCACAAGAGTCGTACCGCGTTACATGGTGCAAATACCGAAAATTGCATTGGATCTGTAAGTGAAATTTATTTATCGATACAAACGTATGCCATTGGCAGAGTCACGCAATTATTATTGGTTATTATCACAGGCCTGAAGCAGATGTTCTTGAGATAAGAAGACGCTATCAAAATATGTACATTCCTAGCGACTTCTTTTCTACTAACTTCAGATGGGTCGATGCTTTTCCACCGCATATGCCATTTACTCTTAATAAACCGTGCTCCTTCCATGTTATGCATAAAGATGTTGATCCATGTAACGAAAATACAGTGATACTAGAACCTTCGGATGCTGATTATCTATTCTCTGCAAAGGTCTGTCAAGAAATTGTGTCACGGTCATCATTATATGACGAGAGAGACAAGCGAAAGTTGAGATTTGAGCGCGCCGATACTTGTAGCGCGATTGAGATCAGAATTACACACATGCGTATCGAAATGATTTTCATGTACTGAATATGTCGTAATTATTTTTAGGTTATGCTCATATCTATGCCTGCCATGGAAGAGATATACAAAAGGTGTTGCGGAGTTTCCGAGGACAGAGATCCCGATCGCGATTATGTTCACCCTACACGTCTTATAAATTTCTTAGTAGGCTTACGGGGCAAAAACGAGACAATGGCTATAGGTGGACCATGGAGTCCTTCGTTAGATGGACCTAATCCTGAAAAAGATCCGTCTGTATTAATCAAGACGGCTGTGAGGACCTGTAAAGCACTTACCGGAATAGATTTGTCCAGCTGCACTCAGTGGTACGCCTTTTCAAGTAGAAATACTTTCCGTTCAATGTACATCTGGAGCACTTTCATAGACAGCTTTTTTTTAAAGCCCCGATTCGTTACAAAGAGCAATATGATATCAGTGAATTTTTCTGCCCGTTAATATTGCAGTATTTCCGTCGATACTTTCCAAATCAAAACCGAAGGTCACAATTACGGAACTCTTCACTCTTTTTTTAAAACTCTTTTTTTTCTTAATTGTCTAGGACTATATTTCTCTAGAGTTCTTTATCATCAACGTAAAAACAAGTGATTCGAAAAAAAAGGTAGAACATCATGTGGCGTTAAGATACACATTCGATAGGTGTACTATTCACGATCTCGACAGAGAGTAATTTCTCTAATATCAGTTCTCTGACTTGATAAACTAAGATTGTAGCTCGATCTCTCTGCAGTGGAGGTATGTATTTATCGTAAACACGAGCGACCGATGGAGATTGCTGCACTGGATCCCGGTTTCGAGCACACCCTCCCCCGTCGACGATGATACACGAGCAGTCGCGGCAGACAAATCATCACTATTGTTCTATTATTATATCATTATGACCCACTGAGTTGTGCTTTCTCTCTCAAATGGTCTCTACGTTGTGCGCTGTACGTGGCTTTGTATGCAGTGCGTGGGCTTTACGAACAAGCGAGCGAACACTTAGCATATAAGGCAACGCTAAGCGGCATTAATCTGAGTTGACGTTTGGGTATTGTTTTTCCTTGCGGCACAGGTACCGCTTCCTGGAACTCTACTACAGACGCGCAGAAACGACCCACAAGTCCGGGCGAGTGGTACCCTCTCGCGTTGAAACCGTCATACTATTTCTCCCAGATGTTTGGAGCTGTGTACCTACCAGATTGGAATGGGACGGGCTGCAACTCAACTATAAGAGACAACTGGAGCGAAAGTTACTGCGTGCTGCCTCTAATCCCGACGATATGGATGCTGCCAATGAGACTGATGAGGCTGCCGCCGCTGATCAAAAGGCACTGCCAACATCATCCCATATTACTTTTATACCTTTTTATTACATTATTATATATTCTATATATATATAGATATATATATAGATACTCGTGCCAACCGTTTCTCCCCATTACTAAACTGGATTTTCAATAGGCTATACTTGTCCATCGATCCTATCGATAAGTTAATTTGTTTCGAATACTATATCTCGCCTTTGTTTTTATCAACAACAAATGTGCAACAAATTTTACCTGTCGTCGATTAAAAAAAAAGTCATAATTTAGGTGTGTTGGCTTAACGTACGAGATATGTTGCATTAATAGACGACAGTAAAAATATTCTAAAGTACAAGTATATTTTTGTATCAGATGATTAGTTTCTGGTCTTTTTTTTTATAAAATACATATCTATGGATTTGACTTCTTCCATAAGATAAGATGTCTTATTTTATGGCATAAGTCATTTATGATATTATTCAAATTAAATGTTTCGAACAACTTTCAATAAGACAAAGTTTGTATATACATATTTTGTAATTATGTTTATATTAAGATCGTTGTTTTATTAAGATTGTTTTATTATTATATGTGTAAATTAAGAAAAAATTCATAATGTAAACGCTTTTAAATGTCGCAAACGAGGATCGAAGGGTAATGTATCGCTCCTTTAGCCAATGGCAGTCACATTGCATTAACAAGAGAAGCAAGCAAGCCTAGCTCGGAGAAGAGCGCAGCTGAGCCATTCCCTTTCCTGAAACCTTCACCAACATTGAAAAATCATTCAAAAATTTTCATTTAATCGTTTTATACTACAACATTATTGATATTATCCGTAACCTACCGATCACACAGACACCAGAGCCAGGACACTATGAGATTCTAGCAGTTACTTGAGTCATACTTGACGGTCATCGTGAATGAAGATATGTGTATATCACAATGTGAGAGTGTTGAAAAAAATTAGAGAGTGATGAAAGAATGAAGAGGGAGTGGTTTCGTTTCGTTATAGGGGCTGCTTCTGTTTTATAGTTTTTTTCTCTAGGCTTTTTACTTCTTTTTTACTAACATGCATTCTCTTCTTTCAGGATGACACAATGCCCGAGAAAAAGGATCCTACACATTATTCCGAGCTAGATCCAAAATCGATGAACGTTAGTATTTAAATATAGAAACTTTTTATTTCTATTTTTATACGTTTTATAAATTCCAAGTCTGATGTGTCTTAATTAATGCAGGTGAATGAATTACGTCAAGAACTGGCAGCTCGTAATTTGAGCTCGAAAGGTTTGAAGTCGCAATTACTAGCTAGACTTTTAAAAGCTGTAAAGTCCGAGCAAGCCAAAGAGGAAGGTCGGCAAGATGAGGCGGATGAAAATGAAGAAGACGTCTCGCCACCGACAAAGGAAGAAGATGATAAAAAATTCAGAGATAGTAAAGATGTAAGTAATAGTTTATTTAATTTTCTGGTAGATAGACAAAAATTATTTTTTCAGAATATTTTAGATTTTTAATATCATTAACTCTCGTTATTTCCAGCATGATGAAGACAAGAGAAAACTTTATGAACGTGAACGTACTGTACTTGAAAAGAGGTATACCTTGCCCGATTCATCGCACATTATTGTTCATCCTTCTAGATTGGCCAAGAGTGGGAAATTTGACTGTACAGTTATGTCGTTGAGCGTATTATTAGACTACAGACCAGAAGATACCAAGGTATTTGATATTTTAAAAATTAATTTCGCTTATGTTAAGAGAAACAAATTGTATATAAACCTCTTGAATATATTAGGAACATTCCTTTGAAGTATCTCTCTTTGCTGAACTATTTAATGAAATGTTGATGCGGGATTTCGGCTTTCGCATTTATCGTGCATTATCCAACCTTCCTGAAAAAACTAAGGAAAAGGATGAGGATAAGAAAAAGGATAAGAAGGATGATAAAAGAGAGGACAAAAAAGATGATAAAAGAAAGGAAGATGAGAAGAAATCCAGGAAGGATGAAAAACGGGACGATAAGAAAAGAGAAGAAGCTAAGGATAAGAAGGATGACAAAGATGCAAAATGTAAAATGGATGACAAGGATAGAGAAAAAGAGAAGAATGATGATGATGATGATGATGAAGATGATGAATCAGATGTAAGAGAAATTTATTTTTTATATTTTATGTTCCATATAAAAATTTTTTAATTGACAAGAAATATGTATAATGTGTTATAAATAAATGGAATATAGCGCATAAATAAATATATTTTATAATATAGACGCTATTATTATCTTTATAGGATGACGATTCTGTGAAAGACGGTAGAAGGGACAGAGATAAAGACGGAAAGAAACGGAAAACTAAATTATACACACATGATCCTTATCTCTTACTTTCTTTTGTGTATTTTGATCAGACGCATTGTGGATATATATTTGATAAAGATATTGAAGAACTTATTTATACTCTGGGGTTGAATTTGTCAAGAGCTCAAGTACGGAAATTAGTACAAAAAGTTGTTACACGAGATTCTCTACATTATCGTAAATTAACAGATAAATCGAAGGAGGATGACTTAAAAGATGAAAAAAAAGATGACAAAGAAAATGATAAAGGTGAATCGACCAAGACGGAAAGCGAGGAGGATATATTGCGTTCGCTTGCCCTCGGTAATATATCTCTTTAATATATATCTCTTTAATATATATCTCTTTTCAATATGGAACATTTTAATATATAACATATATTCAAGTTTATAATTATTGCTATATATTTACGTTTATAGGAAATAAAAAATTGTTACCTGTATTTGTGGGAAGCGGGCCACCTTCAAAAAGAGCAAGAAGAGAGGATTGTATCGTAGAAAAAGCTGACGAAGAAACAATTCCGGAAGGTATCGTTACATACAAAGGCTCTTTACTAGATGTAGAAAAACTTGTCAGTCAGTTGAAAAGATCTGAGAAAGCACGCTTAGATACCGAGGATCGTATGATGGAACTACAGCACGAGTTAATCGTAGTCAATGAAAAATCTACGAAACAGACAAATAGTATTAAAGGTCTTTCAGAAGATTTGAAGATATACAAAGATAAGTTACGAAGCACAGAAGAAAAACTCAAGAAAGTCTCTGTGAGTATACTCGTTTTTTATTTGACATTTAATTCGTAAAAAATACAAATAAAATTATATCATTTTCTTGTATCTTTTTTATAGACGGACTGTCATACTTATTTGACTGCGGTAAAAAATATATACCACATAGCGGCCAAAATGATGCAGAGTGATACGAGAAAAGTAGAAGTAGTAGAAATTCAAGATGAGAAGATTGGTGGAGAGATAAACGGTTCTGAGATAGAGAGCAAGTTTAAAACGGATACCAGGTGGAGTGATAATAAAGTCCAAGTAAAAAAAGAACCTGCCGATGTAGACAAGGACAAGAAATCTGACAATAAAACTTCTGTCAAGAGAGAAATTACTGAAATTGACAAGGAGAAGAAATAAATCACATTATCTATTTATTATAAGTAGACGATACGCACCAACACAAAAATAAAAGTTTAATCTTATTTTACACTCACGTGTGCATGCACGTGTTGTTAGTGACGCATTAAAAAAACAAACAAACAGATGAAACTAACAAAAATTTATCCGACATCAAGCTAAGTGATCAAGACTCCATTTTGTAACTTTTTTCACTCGAGTGATAACGTGTGGCGGCATCTTCAATCAGTGTGATAAGAGCAGCACTTAAAAACATGCTTAACTATTGATAGGATCATTATTAAAATATTTTATGTTGCAATTTTTTGCATCATTCAGAATTTTGCATCAATAAGTAAATCTAAAAGGGGCTTTTAAAAGTACCATTGATCTGCCATTAAGTGCCAGATATTCATAAACCGATATTTACTATTATTATAAGTTCAAAAACACATTAATACTATAATTATTTGATTCAAATAAAATGCGTATGAAGATTTTTACTGGAACTAATAACACAACCACGCAATTGCATTTCCATCATTGTTTCATCGCTCATCTATATTATACGATAAAATAATAGAATTAAATTTATTTAGTTAAAGTTTGGAACTATTTTGTGTATTTTAAACTTAATTAATTTAGATTTATAATTAATACAGTATGTTGTAACGTTAAATCACATTTTTTTTTATCAAATTAGCCATTCTTTTTTAAACTATATGTATTTCCTGATAACTGAAATTTTAATTGATCGAACATATGATATATAATTTAACGCAATAAATATTTAATGCAATAAATGATAAAATTATATCAAGATCTGATTTTAGGCATCTATTGCGTTTTTAATTAAATTTTGCAAAATTCTTGTGCTGCTTTCAATTTTATACACAACAACAGTGCAGCATGAAATAAGTTTTGGAACTCGTTCAAATTTATAATTATAATTATTTATAAAAAAAAGTCGGAACTGCTTTTTTTCAAAAACAACAACATACTTTCCACCAAGAATAATGAAATGTTTGTTATTACAGCAATAAACATTATTTCTTTTCATTTCTTTTCGTTCTAGATGGGAAAATGTGTATAATTTCGAAACAATGTGAATCGATAAACGTTTTTTTATAGCTTAAATAAAATACAATAAATTCGTAATATTCTTTAAGTTACACATTATGTGTACACCAAATACCAAACACACTTGTCCAAAAATCATACTAAATAAAAACGTGTTCTCGAACGTGAGCGATCATGCATGATTGCGCGTTCCATTTCAGACTTGCAGTTTGCAACTCACGATGCCAAGGATACTATTTTGTACATAGTTTATCTATTATATAGAAATTTTTTGTAGTTTATTAATAGAAGGCCACGTTCTTGTCGAAAAAAGGACAAAAGTAGCACTGTACGAGAATATAAAGTAAGAGTATAAAATACGTGAACAGTTCCGAATCTGTGTATGTCAACATGATACAAATCTTAATTAAAAAAAAAAAAAAAAAGAAGAGAAAATTGTAATTATCTCCTTGGCACATGGTAGTAAAAGATACAACGTACAAGATATAACAATAAAAATTGTTTAAAAGCGATGAGTGTGTGTAGTATGTAACAATTTATAATACGTACCAATTCTATTCTCTAAGAATAAACTTAGTTAATTTTTATTTTTACTTAATATTCTTGAAACTTAAATTTGCGATGACATATTTAAGTTAAAATTTAGCGATCAAATTCAATATCATCATCTTTATACGAAACTCTATTAAATATAAAAAACTGAAAAGGTTTCCTAATTTGTTGTACGTTTTATTCATAATATGTATAAGAAAATATATTACAATCTATATGCGTGAAAATGTTTTAGAGAATACATATAATTTTGCTTTACTACTTAATCTGTTTATTATATTATACCATATAGAATATGAATTTAAAAAGAGAATAAGGATAAAATGTAGTTAAAAAAGTAGTTCATTCCCAATGCCGTCTACGCAGACTTCCAAAATTTACTCAAGTTTATGATATAAATTTTCTGTAGATGACATTAAAAATCGAACGTTTAGGGATTCATGCATATGAAAGTTATTTTTATTTGCAGAAAATAGGTAAATTCATGTATTAATATGTACATGATATAGAAAGCATTAGACCCCGAGACAATAATTTCATTTGTCTTTAATCAATTTCGTCAAGAGACGATAAAAAAAAAGAGCGAGTTAATGTCATTCTGGACATTTCTCTCCTATATCTTCGAGCAACTTCTTGTTATCGCGAATCATTTTTTCTAAACGTTCCTTTGTTGCCTGCGTCTGTCTCTGTTCCAGCTTGCGTTTAGCGGATTCTATTGCGGTCCGGTATCCAGTAACGTTACGGAAAATCTTGATGTGCTTATCCCCCGCAGCCAACAAGTATTCTCCCATAGCGTCGAATGTCAGGCGTGTAATGGGTCCTACGAAAGAAGAGTTTGATAAATCCACTTGTGAAAACTTACATGTGAAATAATTGTCAGTAATTTTACCTAAGAAAATATCTTCTATGGTGGTATCGAGAGTACCGGTAATGGTAGAGTAAAGAGATATAGACGATCCATGAGCAATCACGAGGACTTCTGTATTCGGAGATAAAGCGACACTTGCTTGTGCCGTAGTATTCCAGGTGCCAGTTATCAAAACATGCGGATCTTCTCCCTTCTCGAATTCAACTGGAAAAGGGAAACAGATGAATAAAAACTTCATACATTTCACGCTCATATTTTATGTGTTTTGCTAATGATTTTGTTACGCTACTTTTTGTATCATAGAAGCGATACGTCCCGTCCTTGGATACGGTGGCCATGTGATTGGTATCAGCGCTGAAGTCAAAGTCGAGAACCCCGGATGAATGTCCGGCAAGGTCAAACGCTTTGGCTACCGTCTTGAATTCTCCAGATTTGCTAAAGACCACCTCCCATACGTTCACATCTGGTGTAAAACCTAAATGAAAAATTTTATTAAAATCTCTATTTTTTTTTTACAATTTAACGAAATTCTTTAACATCCAAGAGCAAAATGAATCTCCTTACCCGAGGCAGCAACGAATCGGCCACAAGGCGATATGCGAGCACGATAAGTAGATCCTAGATGTAATTCTAACGTCGCCAGAGGTTGTCCTTTCAAGTCCCATATAATAAGATCGTTTGCTTTACTACACGTGATAATGTATTTCCCGGTGCACGCGATATCCATTCCAACAACATCATCAGTGTGACGCTGTAATAAAGAAAAAATTGATATACACATTCCAAAGTAGCTTATATACAATCTATTATCGTATCATTTTAAAGACTTTCTAGTAAAAAAATATAAGTAATCAGAAGAAATTTTTTTGAGCAAGTAAAATAGAAATAATGTAATACCTGTGGAAACTCCAATGCCTTGGTCGCAGAGGCCAAATGACCATCAGGTTTCTTCACGATCTTGTATACCTCAATAGTATTAGCCACGGCTTTGTGAATAATAAATGCCTTTCCATCCGGAGACCAACGTATTAAAGTTGCGTGATCGAATTCTATGTTAACCCGCAGAGATTTGCGATCTTTCGACGTGAAGTCCTTCGCGTACCACAACAACACGGTGCGATCTGCAATGATGCAAAATACAATTTAATCATAAAAAAACGATTTGTATCACAAAAAAAATTCTTAATTACACTATTTCAATTTTTAATATAAATAAACAAAGTCTATATAAGATTTTTTATTTTATTTGATTATGGAAAATTAACTTAAAAAGAAAAATTAACTTAAAGAAGAAATTAACTTAAAAGAAAACTTTTTTTTCTAGTTCAGAAGTTCAGTTCAGAAAAATATTAAATAGGATATATTAGAAATCTCTCTCTCTCTCT